CCCTCTGCTGGACCCTCTCCAGCAGTTCCCAGTCCTTCTTGACCCGGGGAGCCCCGAACTGGACAGAGCGCTCCAGATGTGGCCTCCCCAGGGCAGAGCAGAGGGGGAGGATGACCTCCCTCCACCTGCTGGCCACGCTCTTCTCGATGCCCCCCAGGATGCCGTTGGCCTTCTTGGCCACCAGGGCACACTGCTGGCTCGTGGGCATCCTGTTGTCCCCCAGCACTCCCGGGTCCCTTTCCCCAGAGCTGCTCTCCAGCAGGTCAGCCCCTGACCTGTACCGCTGTGTGGGATATGTGGGGTTACGACTGCCTCTTAGGGAAACGTGGAGGTAAGAGGTGTTCCTTCTCTTCAAGCAGGACTTATCCAGTGTCTCCAGCAGCCCCACTTCAAGCCCCAAGACTAAAATGGCTGCTGTGTCCTCCATCCAGAAGCCCAGCCAGATTGCCACCACGCAGCTGCTGAAGAGGCAGATACAGAGGACGGACACTGTCCTGACGCACAAGCAGGCACAAGGTAATGCCCTGCAGCTTGCCCACCCTCTTCCCTCTTAGCATCTGGATTTTTGGTCTTCATCTGTGCTGAGGGGATTAGTTTTTTGTCTTCTGAGTCCTGTCTTGAATTCCAAGCTCCCTGTGGCAGCTTCCTCTACAGCTCGGTCCCCCCCGACGCTGTCATCTGAAGGCGGCAGCCTGTGGAGGGTTGAAATTAGGTTGGAAATGGTGTTTCTGCAGCTTCTCGCTGCTGTTCAAAGTGGGAAGGATTTTCGCTTGCTCTGGCTGACCAAATCACCGCGTAGCTGTACTCTAATTCTTTTTCAAGTGGGAGCCCCTTGTGATCCTTGCAGGCTGCTTGGGGAGGGAGATGAAAGGTACTCGGGAGAAGACTGAGGCTGTTGAATTGTGACAGAAACAGTGGGAATTGGGTAATTACAGAATCATCTTGCATCAAATGGCAGTGGAAAACCTGCTCTGAATAAGAAAACAGCTTGAGTTCTGGGATTTCTTGGGGTTTTTTTTGGTCTTGTTGGACGCTCATTAAAAAACTTATGATGCAGCTTCAGTCTGATTGTGAATGCTCTGACTGTAGGTAATGGTTTTGTTGATGATGATCCCTTCTGGCAAATATCAGCGGCACCTGGGGGAATAGTCTTCCATCCTCCCTTCTCTCCTTATTTCTTTGCTCAAGGCAGACCTGAAGAGGCTTGTTGTTGTCTCCTCCAACAGTGTGACCCTCCTCACTCTCTGAAGTCTTTCTCTAACTCGGGCTAGGCTCTGGGGGGACGTTCAAGCTTGGATCTCCCTTGATTTCTCAGACCACGGACTAAAGAAATCTATTCCTTTCCTGTTGTAGTTGAGGGAGGAAGTTTCTAGCTAGCCCGCGGGAGGCAGGAGGAGGGTTGGTGGCGTGGTGTGTGTCGTGGCTGCCTTGTTTTGCCAGCAGGGCTGCTACGGTGTGGCTTCTGGCCTGCGTTTTGTGGCTGTAGCTGTTCAGGGATGTGCTGGCTGACGTCTCCCAGCTGCTCTCAGCTTCTCGGCGCAACTGCTCGGTCAAGCTAGCCATAGCTCTCGCAGCCGAGCCTGCTCTCGTTCCCTGGGTGCCGGACCTTTTTCCCCGATAGCTGTGGGGCTGGAGAGGGCTTGTGCTGTTGGGATGCGCACTCTGAAAGCTGAGATGATCCCCCTTCCTAGTGTCAGATGTGCTACGCTGCCGTCCGGAGAGGAGGTCGGTGTGTCTCCGTTGTGCTGGATGAGTTACGTCTGGAGCTCGCTGCCTGCCTGCTCCGAGGTCTCTGTCTGTGGGTCGCAGTGGTGTCCCTGGAGTTCCTTGTCCCCCTCCAGAGCCAGGCTGTGATACTGTAATTCTCTCTGATTCATTTCAGCTCAGTTCGCTGCTTTTCTGAAACAAAACATGCTGGTGAGGAAAGCTCTTCCTCCTGGCACCTCTTCATGTCTCTTTGGTGAGTATCTCCTCACTTCTCGCTGTCTCTCTCTCTGTCTCCCTCCTTCTCTCTGTCTCTGCTGCCTTCTTTCATCGTCTTTCTCTTCCCTTGCATTGGTTTGGGGATGTGGCCCAACGTGTCCCCTTGTCCCCCTGCTTTTTTGCTTTCTCATTGCTGTATTTGAAGCTGAAACAAATGGCCCGCTAGCTAGCTGAGAGCATTAACTTTTCCTGAGCTCTCCCCTTTTCCCTGCCCTGGTAGGTAAATACTGCTCTTCGAGCCGTGTAGTTTGGCAGCCGATTTGTTCTGACGGACTAAAACTTTGTTGATGATGTGGTGGTGACCTTTTGTGATCGCGAGTTTAACCCTTCCCTGCGCTGCAGCTGAGAAAGGGATGTGGACGCCAACCCCAGAGACTGTGTGTGTTGGTGGAGCGTCCCAAACGCGTGGAGCAGCAAAGGGGTTGTCAGCGGGAGCAGAAACAAGGGACTGCCAAGTGACGTGGAAGGGACAGACGTAGACACGTGGAGCAGCATTTCTTGGCCGGAGAGAGTTGGAGAGGAGCAGAGAGGTCAGGGAAGAGGGATGGCTTTGGAAAGATGGTGATGTGGTGGGAGAAGGATGCTGTCTGGAGCAGGGGACACCCGGAGGTGAGCGGTCTTTAGTCCTGTGGCCTCTCGAGTTGGGTGCTGGAGCACTGGGAGAGGTGCTGTGAGGGTTAGGGATTGAGGGGCAAGATCTGCAGTGTATCTACAGACACGTTTTGACGTCTCAAATGGCAGCAACTGTGTGGATGTGGGATTAGGAGAGGATGAGAGGTTGAAATCTGAGGCTTTGGGAGGCCACGGTGTCATCACATGGGCTGTCAGTGTCACTTCTCCATTCGGGTGACCCCAGGGTGCTGAGAGCATTGACATGGGTGAGAACTGTCTCCCTGCAACACCCTGAATGTCGGTGCTTTTAACTCGACGAGACAAGTGCTGGATGCAGAGAAGCTGGTGGTATTTTGGCTGTATAGAGACTCGTAAGATACAGGCTGTCTGCTTGCCCTGAACACACACAAGATATAGTCCCAACTGCACGAATACAGCCGTGGTAACAAACTCCTGAGGCAAGTATTGGCCCGAGCTGGCTTTTTTGAAAGGTTTCTTTCTCCCTGAAGCCTTGTTTAAAGGTTTCTTTCTCCCTTGAGCTTTGTTTTCTGTGCTCTCCCCTGTGTGATGAGGTTACCCTGGGTGCACAGATGGAGCCCTGCGCTTGTCCAGAGTTCTCCCACCCAGCACCTGCTGGGAGGAGAAACCATAGCGGATGTTCTGCCGCAGGTGGGGAGATGTGGAGAGGCTGGCACCAGCCTGGGCTGCCTTTTGATAAGATTAAAAGCCAATTAAGATCTCTGGGCTCCTTACAGTGTTGACTTGGCTGCCTGAGCTGCGAGATAGGAAGCCGGGGCGCGTGCGTTGGGAGCGCTGGCTGTTGTTTTGGGAGCAGGGTGTTCCTCCTGAACATGCAGCCAGCCCTTCACGGCGAGGGTCTGCGTGCACCTGAGGGAGCAGAAGCAGGCTCCGCTCTCCTGCGGTGGGGGACACGGAGGGACGTTGGGTCACTGCTCGCCGATGCTGTGAGGGACACCTAACGCCACTGCCTGTGCATGTGCCGTTTCACTGTCCTGCTTGGCTGGTGGCACTTGGTTGGGGGGTGGCTTTGGTGCCTGCAGTCTGTGCACGCCTGATGAGGTCTCTCTGGCCGGTGATTTGGTCGATGCATGTTTGCAGGTGGGTGGGAGGCACGGGAGCGTTGCACGAGTGTCACGAGTTAACGCGCTCGGGGCCACCAGTCTGGCCATCGATAGCACCTTGTCACTTGTCTTGGAGACCAGAGCAGCCCTGAAATGCTTTGAATCGCCTGTTATTTAGGGATTTGGCTGCAATCTTGTCCTACACCTGCAGTTCAGAGGTATGTAGGCGGTGTGCAGGGAATGTATAAATACATATATATGTGTATAGATACACACATGCATGTCTATATCGATTTTATATAATGTATCCATATATAAGTAATAAGGTATGTGCATTTTGGCCTCTAGGCTGTTGAATAAACGGCTTAGACGCCCAGGACTGTCCATAAAGAGGAAGTTAGCTGCCTCAGCGATGGTCTGCAAAAGCTCTCAGTGGAGAGGTCTCTCTGTAGCTTTGCACGGAGGTCTTTCCCCCTTGCCGCAGATCATGGCAGCGCTCAGGGCGTAGCGGCAGCTGCGTTTCTGAGCGCTGTCGGGCCTCAAACACCACAGCGGGAGGCCACTCTGTGCCCTCCTTTCGACCCAGTCCACCAGGGTTTCAGGCTGGGGCCGGATGACCGTACACCAGCGCTGGGAGACATATGGAGAGCGGATGGGCATGATGTGGCAGCTCGTGACTGTATGTTGTTCCTGGGCTGCCCAGAGGCACTTGTCGTGGGTTCCCTGTGCTTTTTCGGGTAGCCCTGGCCCCAGCAAGCTTGTGCTCTAGGCAGGGTGAAACGGATGTGATGGGTCAAGGGCATGGCAGCGAAACGAGCCGTTGGTGCGGAAGAGAAATCTCAGCTCGTGGATTTTTTTCCCCTAGTAGCAGGCAGCGTAGGGTATGTGGGGGCTTGGCTTTGCTGCAACACCTTTTGTGCTCACAGCTGCTTCGCTTAGCGCCTCTGAGAAACCTGTACGCTTCAGTTCGGCTCCTGAAGAGATGGTTCGGAGCGCTGGAAGGGATGTGCCGAAGGACAGGCGTTGCAAATACCTTTGCTGGTGTGTCGGAGGAACAGGCGGGCTGAGCTCCGATCCCAGCGCTGGCAGCGCGCCTGCACCAGCTCTGCAAGTCTCTGCACCCTCGTCCCCTCACCTGGAAATTAGGGCTGTTGGAGGGACCCAGTGCCGGGAATGATTATGCCGCACTTTGAAATGAAAAGCGTTTATGTGGAGATGTGGTGTCACTGTAGGCATCCATTTTTCTTCACTGCAGAGGCGAGGCAGACTCTATATGCTGTCTTGCATTAGCCTGTGAGTAGTTTAAGCTAAGTCCTGCCCTGAGACAGCAGCTTAGGGCACGCGGAAGACAGCGTAGGTGGTGAAAAGGAGAAGCGTGGGTTCCTGGTGCATGGGAGATGGGCAAGCTGGCATGGAGGGAGCTGTGGAAGTGTGCATGGGCATGTGTCCCTTCTCCGCACTTCGGTGCGCACAGCGGAGCAGCACCGACCTTGAGGGATCGGCCGTCAGTTTTCAAAAAGCTACTTCTGTGTCCCCTAGTTCCAGTCTCCTCAGAGCACTCGGAAGGGGCTGAGAAAGATGATGTGCGTATGCAGCTGAAGAGGCATCAGACCCCCAGCCCGACCCAGTGCACCAAATCCTCCAAACGAGCCAAAATCAAGGTGACCATTGTCTCTCACGGAGATGCTGCTGGCGTGGGGAACGGAGCACCCCTCACCACCCAGGCAGAAAGTGAGTTGCGATTGCATAGCTGCTTTTTAACCAGAAAGCGGGGTCGTGGCTGTGCCCCCCAGATCCGCTCCTCTGGGGCACGGCGTGGGGAGGGGAGGGATTGCTGATTTTTTTTTTTTTTAATTTTTTTGGGTTATTTTTGGAGGAGTTAGCTGCAGAAAACAGATGGAGGTTCAAGGTGTGAGTGACTTGGGGATAGCCGGGGAAGCGTGGGGGTTGACAGCACGTAGGATCTTGGCAGGAGCCTCTGTTTTCCGTAGCAGTTTGGGATTGCACGCTCCAGCGAAATGCTCAACTGCAGCCTTGTGAGCTGCGAGGTGAATTTTACACCTTCCTCTGAGGCATCGGACCGCTGCTGGCAGCAGGATGCCAGTCCTGGCGGACCGCTTGCTCCGAGGAGGTCGTATGCGTCTCCGGTTCTGCTGCCTACTCCTGCGTGAAGCTCTCACCTGGAACGTGCTCTTGCTTTGGGGATGACAGCGATGTTCCTCCCTCTGGAAGACCTTTATGCGTTCAGACTTCGTGATTCAGCCGAGTGCCCCGCTCTGCTGATCCGCTTTGGGCCTGAAGTCTGGCAAAACACGTGCTTGATATGCATATAAATAAACTCCAGCTCCTCTCCCGCTTCTGCGGCTGGGAAAAGCCACTGTGAAGAGCGTTGCGGAGGTCCCTGCAGTCCAAGAAGAGGTGATGCGCTCGGTGGTCTTCCCCTTGAGCCTTTCCAGGGAGGCCAGAAGCTTTGGAGGATGTTGCCTTGTCACGTGCCGTAGTGGTGTATACAGCATCCTCACATCAGAGCGCAGAGCCCCATATATTTAAAGCAGTCCCTCGTTATTAGCGTTAGCTCGATGCAGTTCAGGACTGAAAGGTCAGCATCTCTGTTCCGATAGGAAATCGGAGGTTTTCAAAGCTCAGAAATAATTCTGCTCCTTTGGAAGCATCTCTTGGTTAGTTTAGCAGTTGTTCTGAACTGTGAAAATGAACTAATAAACACACATCCTTTTTTAAGGTTACAGTTTATCTTCTGGCAACTTAGAAAATCTCTGGTTTCCAGGATCTTTTTTTTTTTTAATTTTCCAAACTTTACTTCTTTTCACAGAAAGGAAATGAATTGCAGAAGTAAACATGAACCAAAACAAGAATTCCCTCTTACCGTGCGTGAGCAGGAGGAATGCACAAGACAAACGCAGTTGTATCCCAAAACGCCGCAATAAACAAATCTTGTGACTCGTCGCATCCCTGTGTATTTTGTAAAGTGTCTCTAAAGAATACTTACAAAATCGATCGCTAGCGACCAGCCAGATCCGAACTAATTGGTTGAGGCGGTAGAGCTGTGCCATGATGGACTAGGAGGAGGGGATTAGTGGAGATAACGTTTAGGAGAGAGAATTGCATTTGGCGGTGAGGGACTGAGATTTCACTGTTTGCAGATCTTTTGAAGCAGATTCCTTCAATCCCGTCTATTGTAACGCATCCACAACAGCGGCTTTCTGGTTTTTATTCGCGACTCTGCTCTGTTTGGTACTCCCGATCTCCGGTAGCGCGGTGGCTGGAGCGTGTGTTGATGGCTGCAGCGGAGGTTTCCTTGAGAAGGTGCTTTGTGAGCAGGATGAGGCCGTGGCCTGCAGCGCTGTGTCTGTGGGTAGCTGTGTGAGAGAGGGGAAATCCCTAAAGACTCGTTGAGGAGAGAAAATGAGGTTTTCTTCTTTTTCTTTTGCAGTTGTCGCTGGAAAGCCGGTCCCCATGGCTGTCGGCCAGTCTGTGTCAGGCGCAAAGGAGCTGTCAGGACTGCTCACCACCCCCAAGTGAGTGCGACTTTGTGGTTTTTGTTTGCTGTGGGTCTTTTTGATAGGCTGATGATGGGAAGCGTGGCAACAGGGTGATTTCTGCATGCGGAGCTTTCTCATACCTTGCTTATGACTGGAATTTTCTGAAGCGCAGGAGACTCTTAGGCTCCTGAAGACTATTTGTCAACCAGCAATCGAGTCTGAGAATGGCAGAAATGGGCAAAAGTAGAAGGTATTGTGGTTCTTGGGCTATATTTCTATGTGGTTTCCCAAATCCAAGTTTGCTTATTGCTGTCTTTTGAATGACTGTGGTGTCTTTGCCAGAATTCAGTCTTGTCTTTAATCCTTCCCTTCATTCCCTCTAACAATCAAGCATTTTTTTTCCCCGATGGTAGGGGAAAGAAGCTTCAATATCAGTTCATGAAGTTGATTGTAGGGATTTCTGTCGGGGAATGAACCTAAGGTTGATATCTCACATCACTGTTTTCCCTTTTAATTCGCACCAAGCTTTGGAGAGCTAGACTCTGCCTGATCTGGAAGGAGAGAGGAAGAAGAGCTGTTCTCAAATAGAAAGTAGGTTTTAAACAGGAAAAGCGTCACTGTAAGTTAGATGGCTTTTGTGTAGGGTGACACAACCCTTGCAGCACACGTGCAGGTAGACGCACACGTGATAACAAGCTCACTTCCAATTTGGAAATACACAGATCTTGCCATAAGTGCTCCGTGTTCTAGCTGCCGTAGTGGATAATTCTCTTTGGAGAGAAATTGGAGAACCAAATTCTCTTGCTTTGGGTTTTTGTAGCTCGTCAACTCCCCGACTTTACGATTCCCGGAGTCGTGCTGGGTTGTGTGAGGCCAGTGACAGCTCGCCGTCAAAGCTATCTCGCCTTCGCCCTGCGGAGTTTATCGCTAACCGGAGTCTTTCTCTTCTGCTTGCTTTGTAGGCTGAGTTCGGCAGCGGAAACCTCCTCCGCGAGTCCTGCTCCGTCTGCCATGATCCCCAGCAGCACGGCGCCCAGCGCTTTCCATGCCCTGCAGAGCAGGCTGGTGGCCAGCAGCACCCACTGCATGCAGGCCCAGCCAGCCAGTACCCTCCAAGGTACCTGCCTCTCTCCCTGTCTCTCTTGTGAATGTAAAAGGTAAACCAGGTTCAAAATCATCTGGTGGATCCTCTTTCTTGCGTTCCCTGGTTGCTTTGGGTTTGGCTGAGGTGAAGTTTGTAGTGCAGAGCCTGGAGAGATCCAGTGGGATCCTGTAAAGCGAGGCTGAAGGCACAGTAAGTGACCTGTTAATTGTGTCATTGGTGCGTAGTGATGCCTCGAGATACCAAAACTGACCTCCCGGGTTTCACAGCTAACCTTGTTTGGAGCTGCAGCAATGAAATGTGTTGGACTGAGTGTGTTAAGAGGGTCCCCGCTGACCTCGAGGCAGGCTGCTTGGGACATTGCTCTTTAGAGAACAGTTTTGCAGACACCTGCCCTATGACAGACCTGGAATTTCACACTGGTGAATTCTCCAAGCCCGATTTCTTTATCCTTTACTTTTTTTTTAAGGAGCAGCATCTGCCAGCAGCCTGTTGCAAGGGCTGAGCTTCAGCCTGCAGGACATCGGAACCAAGTCATCAGCCCTTCCTGCCAGCGTGGCTGCTGCAGGGCCGCCCGTGCAGGTATGTGGCCAGGAAACATCAGAAATCCCTCTCTGGAGGGAAACTGTATGGAGGATAAAGCGGTAGGAGGAGTAGGGAACCATGTTTGCTCCAGTACCAGAAGAGATAAGGGATGCTAGGTGTGAATTGCAGCTGAAACAGTGCATCCAAGCCTCGGCGGTGTGCCAGGGGCTAGGGGCTCCTGTAAGTGGCAAGAGACCTTGGAAGCAGGGCTGTGGGAAGTTGTTTCTAGGTGGCCACTGAGAAAATGCTGAGCGGGAGTTGGAGAATGAACGGGAGGGGGGAGATCAGCAATCTTGCTACTTGTTCTTCTAGTAAAACACATGCCTGTGACCTGTCGGGCAAGCTCCCCATCCCTGCAGTTTCAGGTAACCTCTTTCAGAACGGGTGGCTTCATTAGAAGCAGAGCCACAGTTTCTCCTAGTCATGCTTTCGAGTTGAAAAAAGTATGTGCCGACTGGAAGGGACAAGTTTACTTGCTTTAGAACTGCTTGTGGCCACCAAAATGAAGTGTGGAAAGCCCGATCTCTAAAGAACTCTAGCTTCTGCAGGAGGGAGAGGCCGTGCCATCCCGGCATCCTCTTTCCTTCTGGGTACTCAGTGCTTCTGCTTCTCCTTCCAGACCTCAGCTGTGAAGACGCCTGCGCCTATCCAGAACCTGAGTGCCATAACCACAGGCACCGGCACAATTGTTCGCACCATCCCGGTTGCCACCTCTTTGTCTCTGGGAGCCTCAGCGAGCGGGAAGCCCACGGCCATTCACCAGCTGCTGACAAACGGGGGACTGGCGAAGCTGGCCAGCAGTCTCCCTGGCTTGGCTCAGATCTCCAACCAGGCAGCAGGTGAGGGAGAAGGGGAAGATGCGCGTGATGCAGGCGCGATGAGCACCCCATCGCCCCGAGAGCGCTGTTTCCAAAGCTTATTTTGCCTTTGAGCCGTAGCTATGGACAGCCGCGTGCGCTAGCAATTTCTGAGCAGCTGCTTCTAATGGGAAGAGGCTTCTGATGCAGCCCCCACTTGGTGGACGTGGCCTCCGCAGTCCCCGTGTCTCAGGAACATCTCGCTCGTGTGTTTTCTAGGCTTGAAGGCCCCAACGACCATTACTGTGACGCTACGTGGGCAGCCCAGCCGCGTGACCACGCTTAGCCAGGCTGCCATGGGGACTGTCCAGCCCCAGCTGGAGGAGCAGCCGATGCAGACGCAGGCACCTCAGGTAATTTTTGACATTTTCTTTGTAGACAAAGTGTCTGCTGCTGCTCTTCTGAGCTTTTTCTGACCATCGTAGTCAAGGGCAGGTATAACTGTCGTGAGGAAAGCGTTCCTGGTCACATCATTTGGGTGTGAGGAGCTTTGTTGCTTTGCTGAGGCTGCACAGAAAGGGGCCTTGCAAGGCGGTGGTTAAGAGAACCCACTTCATTTTCATGTCTGTTAGTGACAGGGTTGCTTGTGCCCGATATCGCACTAGTACCGCATCGAGGGAATCTCCGGCTGCACTTCGAAAGCTGACATCAGCGTGGAAATTCTTACTGAAGCTCCAGGCTTTCTTGGCAGTAATAGGCTGTGGTGGGAGGAGGAAAGCTGCTCGTAGAGTGTCTATCCTCTGCCTGTTCGGGCCGGAGAGCTGTCTGGAGCCGTATTCCTCTTGAAAATGCTGCCTCTCACTATTAGATGCCCTGATGTGACACTGGGCCCTGTGGGTGTTGGGGATGCTGTTGTATTTCCTCCTGCAGGTCCCCAGCTCCTGCTCTTTCTCCCTGCCCTGCTGTTGAAGCCAATTTATGAAGGGCTGAGCGTGTGCTCCAAGGTTATATCTGTTCGATACGGATCTCCTTTTGGAGGTGGATCACTGACAGTAGGAAAAGCTCTTCATATTTGGACTCTCAACGCGTGCGAGGTACTGTCTCAAGGATCCTGGCTGCTTTCCTGCTTCCTAGGTTAAATCTTGGTGCGGTTGAGTTGAAAGCACAAGATGCCAAGTTGGAGAAGGTTTTTTTGGTTGTGAACATAGTGGTCTTGTGTACTGTAACGTGGACCTCGCAACCCCAAATCCTGGAGGTAGCAAAAGGGGTGAACTTACTGTGGATGTATCCTTGGGCTCCGTCCTAAACCACTGTCAGTTTTGAGATGTGAGGGTGGAAAGGTTGGCTCTGACTCCCTGCGCAGGACGGTTGGCCGGCAGTGGCTGTGATGTGCCATCAGCAAGACTGACCCAAGCTCAGATGGCTTTGCCGTGGTCCCAGCTCCAGTCCTGTGTGACACTCGGTTCTCTCCTGGAGGTACTTTCCTGGGGGTCTAGGAGAAAACGGGCAGCCCCGGCTTGTGATCCGGCTCACGGGACTGAAGGAGGCATTGCAGAAAAAGGGCTGCTGGTTCCCTGAGTGTATACTGAGGGGAATAACTGACTGTCCGACAGATGATGACTGTGGTGATTTGAGGCAGGTGTTTGAAGGGAGAAAAATCGTTCAGAAAACAAGTCGACAAGCTCCCGGAATGATAAATGCCGCAGCTTTGGCAGTCGGATGAGTGTGGAGCGTCCAGTTGGGATCAAACTCCAGTTCCCCGCAGGGATTAACGAGCTGGCACTGAAGGCTGAGGATGCCAAGATCACACCATTGGTTCTCCCAGGGCTTTTTTTTTTTTTTTTTTTTTTCCCCCCTTTTGCATGTGATTTTCCAGCTTTGTTAGCATGAACACAGGTCCCAGGTGTAGGAGAGGCAGAGAGCGATCTTCGCTTTGTAGATGAAGCTCTGTAGTTTTGGTCCCTGTTGCTGGAGGGGCTCAGGTCGTGGGCAGCACCGTGGAGGCAGAGGGAGTGCCTTTATGCCTTGCTGCTCTCTGCAGAGGCTGTTTGAGGTTGCTTGAAACCCTAAGATATATTTAGGGAGGCATTATCCTAAGGGTGAAGCCTTTGGGTGGAATTTGGGTAAGTATTAACAGCAGCAGCCGTAAATCTTCAATTTGACCTGCGCTGCTTTAGAGCTGGCATTGCTGGTGGTTTCCACGCAGAGTCCTGGCTTAGCGCTGGTTAAACCTCAAATTTGGGAGCATCCGTGTCCTTCCTCCCTTGACTTTTCCGTGTTTCTTTCAGTCGCTTTGCTAGCACGACAGAGCCTGCGCGGCTCAGCAGAGCGGAGCTTAGAGCCGGTTAAAGTAGAGCTCGGAAACACGGAGCTAGCGAAACTCAGCGCGGATCCCACCCGAGCAGCGAGTCAGTTGCTTTTGTAGGTCTAAAACTCTTTGTCCGTGTTGGAGGCAGCTTTTGTGCTCTTCAAAGGCCGTTAAATAAACCGTCAGAACCAGTGTGCTTTCCTTTACGTCCTTTGTTACCTTTGAGAGACCCTAAATATCCAGCACAACAGTAACTCCGCAGCGTAACGAAACTTGGTACGGAGGGACTGCGGGGTTAACGGGTTCAGGTACGGGTTAATGTTTTCAGGAACTGGATATTGGATCGTACGCTGTGACTTTTACCTACAATGCTGAGCTTGTGCGTTCAAGGTAGGGCTTAATTGTGTGGCCGGCTGGGAGAGTTGCTTCGAAAGCAAACTGAAAGCTAGTTTTTACAGGAAATGGAATGAGCTGTGTGTTTTTGTAACTAATTATAGCCCTTGACATCAGCTCGTGTGTACCTTTAGCACAGAAGGCTTACGTAATCTAGCGGGGCTTCCTGTAAAAGAGCAAATTTACAAAAGGCTCCAGGGGATAACTCCGAGGGCTTAAAACTCTTGTGTTTTCAGCAGTAGTCAAAGCTGTTGGCGGTTGGGTTCCCTTTGAAATTCCAGCTGACGGCTCCACTGTGCCTGTGCAGGAAGCGTGAAGCCCACACATCAGCTGTGCGCTGTGATTTTTATTTTTTTTTTTAAACTCTGGGGGTTGGGGTCGATGCCTGTAGCAGCTGAGATGCAGTTTGAGTGGGTAACTCTTTTCCTTCCCCCGTTGCCATTAAAACGAGAGGCGGAAGACTGAAGAATCTCCCTGGGGAGTGTGGTGCAAATGCTTTCTGTGAGTAGCAGAGTAAGAAGTGAGTGTGTTAAAGTGAAAATAGCAAACAAGCTGCAGCTTCTCTTTTCAAGAAACTGCTCCACGGTGGTTTGAACGTTGCTTTTTGGACGGGATCCCCCCTGCAGCGTGGTTCTATCCTGATAGGAGCTCCATAAAGCGTGGAGTGATGCTGATGTTGGATCACGCTCTTGGTTTCTGCTTAGCGGCATGGAGATTTACGCCGCGATGACCGGAGCTGCAAGCTGTCACGCTTTGGGCAAGGGTCTCCCTTAGATGGCACGAGGAGAGCTCTGACTCCAGCCCTTGCTGGTGCTGGCTGTGCTGTCAGCAGGCGCTTTCCTTTCCTGAAGTCTGACCCTTTCCACTCCCAGGGGCAGAAATATTAATTACAGCTAAAGGAGCGCCGTTAAATGGCCGCACAAGGCATGGAAAAGCAGGCTGGGACCTACGTGAGCATCAGGTAGAGGGGGCTCAGACTTGAGCTCAAGCGGTGCTTGTCAGTGGTGGTGGCAAGCGAGTAAGTTGGCTCAGAGAAGCCTGACCGAAGAGGTGGGTATCTGTTTTTGTAGCTGGAAAAGCTCCTTTGGAGCTTGAATTCTGTCAGCTCGGCGCTGTGAGGGCTCCCAGGGAGAGCACGGGAGCCCAGGCAGTCGGCTCGCTGCAGTACCAGATTGCAGAAGCACCTGGGCAGAGTTCAGGCAAGTAAAGCTGACCCAGAGGTATTTGAAGAACCTCTCAAATAGGGGAATTTCCAGGTATTTCACTGAAGCTTGACAGTCCTCTGCAGGGTGCGCTGCCATCTGCCTTGGGAGACAAATCCAAACTCCCCAGTTGTCCCAGTCTCGGATATCTGTGGACACGGGTGCCGTCTAACCAGCTGGGTCTTGTCAGAGGGGTTTGTATGTCTGCGTCAAGCGAGAGGGAAGCTCTTCTGATGCCGAGGATGGTGGGTGCTGTTCCCAGTTTTTGCTGGGCTTTCACTGGTAATAGCACATCAGTCTTGCAAGCTGGTCTGCACGATGCAGGCGTCATTCTTGAGCTCCTGGCTGTTGCTTCGCTATTGCTGCAGAGGAAACAAGAGCCGGACTGATTTCCCTGACAGCCAGAGATGGGGATAGAGCCATCCCATTCCGTTCCAGAAAAAGGCAATGAGTTTGTGCCGCTCTCAGCCGAAGCACCGACAGTGGTGTTGATGCTGCAAACCACACCATCGCAACTTTTAAAATACCGATCTCCAGATTTTTCTCTCGGTACGTCTTTTTCCTTGAGCGTGGAGGTGACCAGTCGGAACGAGGACAAGGCTAGAAGAAGCAGGGAAAGGGCACGCTGTGTTTGGGTTTTTTTTTAAGGTGAGGGCTAGCGCAGGTCCCAAGAAATGCTTGCAGCCCCTCGCAGATGGTGTATCCTCGGCAGCCGGGCACTTCCAGTAGCTCTCCGTTACTTTAACCCTTCCAGGCTCCAGACGGTGCTGTTGGGAACCTGGCCGCCCCCGCTACCAGCGCAGCATCTCCTGGCAAGCTCCTGTCTCAGATGTATCTCAGCAAAGCCCAGGCTGGCGCAGAGATGGCTCCCGCCGACCCCGCGGCACACCTGACCGCCGCCGCGGCAGCACCCGCAGGTGAGGCGCATGGCAGTCGTGGGGCGCGCGCAGCCCGCCTGGGGGCCCG